TCGCCATTCCCAGCCAATGGGAGCTCTGGGAAATGGCACGGACCGGAATGAAGGTAAATAAAGCAGCAAAGGTCTGCAACTCATTGTCTACCATTGTATTAATAGGAGACTATTGAGTAGGATTATGGAGGTTGTATTTCCTCTGTATTTGGCACTTCTGTGACCTCTCCTGGAATACTGTTTCCAGTTGTAGTCTGCACAGGAAGGATGTTGATAAATTGGAGTGCGCTTCAGAGAAGAATCCATTGAAAACATGCCTACATCCGAAAGAATCAAGGAGCTCAGTCTAAGCTTAATGAAAAGGAGGATAACTTGATCAGTTAAATTTCTGTTCCCTGTATAGACCAGAGGGCTCTTCCATCTAGCAGACAAAAGTGTCAGAAGATCCAAAGGTCAGAAGATGACACTAGACTAAATCAGACTAAAAAATGAGGCACATTTTTAACATTGATACCGCATTGGAACAACTTACAAAAGTTGTGTGGATTTCCCATCACTGGAAATTTTTAAATCCAGATTAGTTTGTTTTTCTAAAGAATATAAACTCCAGTTCAAACAGGAATTAAGGGACACCCTAGGACATGTGTTACACAAAGGGTCAGACATAAATGATCATAATGGTACCTTCTGACCTTCGAATCTCTAAATTCGGCTTTGTCTCTCTCATGTTACTGCTGATTTACAATTCCATGACCTCTGTGGTCATTCTTCACTTTTATGGGAAGGGTTGCAGACAAATAATGCCAAAGAAGGCAAAGTTTAATTAAAACAATAGATGACATTAACGTAGGACTGGAAGGGACCTCAGTATATATCATCTAGTCCAGCCTCCAGGACTGAGACTGGACTAAGGCCAGGTCTACACTAAAGAAGAAGGTCAAATTAAGATACGCAACTCCAGTTATGTTAATTACGTAGCTGGAGTCAAACAAACATTAATTCTAGTGAGGGTCTGATTCACCCAATAGTCTAACAACAGAACAAAGGATATCTCATGACGGTGATAGTAAACTTACAACAATAATGCAGCAAAGAGAAAGTAAGTATTAAATATTTGTTCTGTAGCTAGGACAACGTTGAATAATTATTCACATCATAGCAATCAGAAGTTACTAGGGAGGATGAAAAACAGCATCTGCAAAATTTCTGAACACTCAAATCTGCAGGGTCCAGGAACTCTGACCAACGGATGTTAATTTTTAATAAATATTGGCATAGCATGGCAGTTCTAGAGGACTAAAGGTAATACTGAGCCAATAATTAAAAAGAGTAAATGAAATTACTTGTGTAACAATAGGACAGTTACTATAATACCACTTATGAGCAAAAATGCTTGGTGCAGGATGCAAGTAGTGAAGGATGCCAATCAACATGGTTTTATGAAATAGGTCTGGTCAAACCATTTATTTTTCCGATTACAAGTTTGATAAATCAACATGAGTTCTGTAACGCCTTGAGTTAGTACCGTATGACTGGTTGAAAATATGAAAGTGAAAGGCAACTTGGGTGAAAGTGATCATGAAATCATAGAATTCATGATTCTAAGGAATGGTAGAAGGGAAAACAGCAAAACAGAGACAATGGATTTCAGGAAGGCAGATTTTAGTAAATTCAGAAAGCTTGTAGGTAAGGTCCCATGGGAAGCAAGACTTAGAGGGAAAAACACCGAAGACAGCTGGCAGTTTTTCAAAGGGACATTATCAAGGGCCCAAAAGCAAACTATTCCGTTACGTAGAAAAGATAGAAAGTCTGGCAAAAGGCCGCCTTGGCTTAACCAGCTCTTGCATGGTCTAAAAATCAAAAAGGAGTCAGATAAAAAGTGGAAACTGTGTCAAATTACAAAGGATGAGTATCAGCAAACACAGGTATGCAGGGGCAAGATTAAAAAGACAAAGGCACAAAACAAGCTCAATCTAGCTAGAGACAAAGGGTAACAAGAATCATAGAATAATAGGACTGGAAGGGACCTCGAGAGGTCATCGAGTCCAGCCCCCCGCCCTCAAGGCAGGACCAAGCTCCGTCTACACCATCCCTGACAGATGTCTATCTAACCTGTTCTTAAATATCTCCAGAGAGGGAGATTCCACCACCTCCCTTGGCAATTTATTCCAATATTTGACCACCCTGACAGTTAGGAATTTTTTCCTAATGTCCAATCTAAACCTCCCCTGCTGCACTTTAAGCCCATTACTCCATGTCCTGTCCTCAGAAACCAAGAGGAACAAATTTTCACCTTCCTCCTTGTGACACCCTTTTAGATATTTGAAAACCACTATCATGTCCCCCCTTAATCTTCTTTTTTCCAAACTAAACAAGCCCAGTTCATGAAGCCTGGCTTCATAGGCTTCTCTAGACCTTTAATCATTCTTGTCACTCTTCTCTGTACCCTTTCCAATTTCTCCACATCTTTCTTGAAATGTGGCGCCCAGAACTGGACACAGTACTCCAGCTGAGGCCTAACTAGTGCAGAATAGAGCGGCAGAATGACTTCACGAGTTTTGCTTACAACACACCTGTTGATACAACCTAAAATCATATTTGCTTTTTTTGCAACAGCATCACACTGTTGACTCATATTCAACTTGTGGTCCACTATGACCCCTAGATCCCTTTCCGCCATGCTCCTTCCTAGACAGTCGCTTCCCATCTTGTATGTATGGAACTGATTGTTCCTTCCTAAGTGGAGCACTCTGCATTTCTCCTTATTAAACCTCATCCTGTTTACCTCCGACCATTTCTCTAACTTGCTAAGGTCATTTTGAATTATGTCCCTATCCTCCAAAGAAGTTGCAACCCCACCCAGTTTGGTATCATCTGCAAACTTAATAAGAGTACTCTCTATCCCAATATCTACATCATTGATGAAGATATTGAACAGTACGGGTCCCAAAACAGACCCTTGAGGAACTCCACTTGTTATCCCTTTCCAGCAGGATTTAGAACCGTTAACAACAACTCTCTGACTACGGTTATCCAGCCAATTATGCACCCACCTTATCGTGGCCCTATCTAAGTTATATTTGCCTAGTTTATCAATAAGAATATCATGCGAGACCTTACTTCGAAAAATTAGATGTCTGCAAGTCAGGAGTGCCTGATTGATGATATTCATCCTAGAATACTCAAGGAGCTGATAGAGGAGGTATCTGAGCCTTTAGCTATCATCTTTGAAAAATCATGGAAGTCAGAAGAGATTCCAGAAGACTGGAAATGGGCAAATCTAGTGCCCATCTATAAAAAGGGAAATAAGAACAACCCAAAAAACTACAGACCAGTCAGTTTAACTTCTGTGCCAGGAAAGATAACGGAGCAGATAATTAAGGAATTAATCTGCAAATAACTGGAAGAAAATAAGGTGATAGGCAACAGCCAGCATGGATTTGTAAAGAACAAATCATGTCAAACCAATCTGATAGCTTTCTTTGATAGGATAACAAGTCTTGTGGATCTTGTTAAGTTGTGGACATGGTATACCTTAACTTTAATAAGGAATTTGATATGGTCTCGCATGACCTTCTTATCATTAAACCAGGCAAGTACAACTTAGATGGGGCTACTCTAAGGTGGGTGCATAACTGGCTGGATAACCATTCTCAGAGAGTAGTTATTAACGGTTCACTGTCATCCTGGAAGGGCATAACAAGTGGGGTTCTGCAGGGATCTGTTCTGGGACTGGTTCTGTTCAATATCTTCATCAATGATTTAGATGATGGCGTAGAGAGTACGCTTAAGTTTGCAGATGATACCAAACTGGGAGGGGTTGCAAGTGCTTTGGAGGACAGGGTCATAATTCAAAGCGATCTGGACAAATTGGAGAAATGGTCTGAAGTAAATAGGATGAAGTATTGAAATACAAAGTATTCCACTTAGGAGAGAACAATCTGTTTCACATATAGGCTGCGTCTAGACTGGCAAGTCTACATTGGCCGCTTGAATTTGCACAAGAACACTGACGATCTAATGTAAGATTGTCAGTGTTCTTGCACAAATACTATGATGCTCCCACTCAGGGATAAGCCCTCTTGAGCAAATGCTTTTGCGCAAGAAGGCCAGTGTAGACAGGTAAAAACTGTTTTGCGCAAAAAAGCCCCTACGGCGAAAATGGCGATCGGGGCTTTCTTGGCACGGACGCTTTTCTGCTAAAAATGCTTTTGCGCAAAAGCATCCATGACAATCTAGATGCTCTTTTCCACAAATGAGAAAAACATGAGCTATGAGTCAAGGAGAAGAGAAGACTGAGAGGGGACATGATAGCAGTTTTCAGGTATCTAAAAGGAAGGCACGGAGGGAGGGGGTTGGGGGGAATTGTTCTCCTAGGCCTCTGAGGATAGGACAAGCAGCAATGGGCTTAAACTGCAACAAGGGAGGTTTAGGTTGGACACTAGGAAAAACTTCCTGTCAGGGTGGTTAAACACTGGAATAAATTGCCTGGGGATGTTGCGGAATCTCCATCACTGGAGATATTTAAGAGGAGCTTAGACAGACATCTATCAGGGATAATCTAGACCGTGCTTGGTCCCGCCATGAGGGCAGGGGACTGGACTTGATGATCTCTCGAGGTCCCTTCCAGTCCTAGTATTCTATGATTAACTAAAAAATAGCAATAAAGAAAATTAATGTATCATATATTAAATGGGTTAAAATCATTAACAGATAGATCTCAAAATAATTGTTAATGAAGCAACATCATTCATTTGGGTTGTTTCTAGTGGGGATGTGTTCTAGGCCCAATACTAATTAATATCTTTATCCATGATCTGGAAGAAAATATAAAATCACTGTTAGTGAGGTTTGTAAATGACGAAGTCTAGTGGAGCAGTAAATCATGACAGGACGACTTATGCAGAGTGATCTAGGAATGACTAGTGTACTGTACAAATACTAGCATATAACAACACACAACTGCAGTAGTAACGTTATCAGACACATTTAGACCCTGTCACAACTTTCTGATCTTTGTTTTCTATACTGCTGGGGCCTAACTATCTATTTGTCTTTAGTCCCGACAGACCCCAGAAGGGGAATTCTTGCCGTTAGATCAATGTGAGTTGGATGTTGGATTTGGAACTGGAGCTGACCAGCTGTTTTTAGTTTCTCCTTTAACCATCTGCCACGAAATCAACCCCCAGAGCCCCCTTTTTTGTCTCTCTCAAAGATCGCTAAGAAGTGAGCAGTTTGAGATTGTCGTCATCCTGGAAGGAATTGTTGAAACTACTGGTAAGATTATCTGAACAAAATGAACGGTGCATGCACTGTGTTAAAGTTGACCCTTTCAGCTTCTCTTAATCACTGGTGCAATCTTGTATCAAGGCAGTCATTCAAAATTCTCTTCTAGAAAAACTGAATTGGTTGTTTCCATCAGCCTAAGCATGGGAAGCTTGGAATAGATTTTGTGCCTGAGATAGAATGTTTTCACAATCCCTTTACAAATCTGCATTACAATGTAGCAATCATGAATCCGAGCCTTAAGTGAGGCAAAATATCTCAGAAACTTTACAATATAGCATATTAGAGGATTTACCCAGCTTCCTTGGGTCCTTGACTCAAATAATTCTTTGTTTTCTTCATTGTTCTGGAGCGGGGCTGGGGAGGAGGGGTTCAGGATGCAGGCTGCTCTGCAGAGAGGACAACGCCAGCCCTCTTTCACTGCAGCAGCTTGGGGCCAGGTGAGAAGTGCCTCTCCATGGCTGCTGCAGCTCCAGTGGGCATAGCTGGGGGAGAGGTGCATGCCTCCCGGATGGGGGAAAAGACAGACACACAAATAGACAAACTCTCTCAAATATAAAGTAAATAGCTGTCCCTTTCTCCACCCTTGCCCCCTGCTGCCCCAGAGGGCTTATAGCTGTCCCAGTCCTTGTCTCTGGCCCCTTGCTATCCCCTATGGGAATTATCTTTCTGTTTTATGAGAAATAGTCCCATTCTAGGCACATCCTATTGTCCTGGCACAACCAGACCCTCACCTTGTTATAAATTATAAGAGGAAGCTGTATATCAAATGTGTTGGTCCTAGCTCTTACGACAGGGGTACAGAACCTAAGACCCGGGGGCTGGATGCGGCCTCAGGTTGCCTGGATCTGACTCCCGAGGCTTAGGGACTCCTCCAACATTGGGGAGCCTGAACTGGCACTCCAGCCCCCCGCCCCCTTCCTTCCCATAACCCCCGACTGATTTTTCGGTGGGTCAGCAGCCCCTGACCCAAAAGAGGTCCCCACCCATAGATCAAAGAATCAAAGCTGGAAGAGACCTGAGGAGGTCGTGAAGTCCAGCCCCCTGCCCAAAGCAGGACCAATCCCAACTAAATCATCCCATCCAGGGTTTTGTTAAGCCAAGACTTAAAAACATCTAGGCTACATCTACACTGCAGAGACACAAGAATTTGCAGTGTCCACACAAGCCCGTTTTTGCACAAGAAGTAGTACAGTACATTGTAAGAACACAGGGCTTTTTGCACAAGAGTTATTCCTCTCCCACGAGCAATAAGCCATTTTGCACAAGAACTCTTGTGCAAGAAGGCAGTGTGAACAGGCAACAGGGGTTTCTAGTGCAAGAAACCCCTATGGCTAAAGTGTCCATCAGAGCTTTCTTGTGCAAGAGGGCGTCCACACTGCCATGGACACCCTTGTGCAAAAGCACATCTCTTGTACAAAAGCACACGGCAGTGTGGACACGCTCTTGCACAAGAACTTTTTGCGCAAGAACTAGACGTAGTGCTAGGGATGGAGATTCCATCGCCTCCCTAGGTAACCCATCCCAGTGCTTCCCCACCCTCCTAGTGAAATAGTATCCAACCTAGACCTCCTTATGGTTTAGGAGGAGCTCTTGAACAAACCGATGGATGAGCTCCCACATATGTAGCCGATGTAACAATCTCCAAGACAGCTGTACCATGATGTCAGCAGTGATGTTTTTAGGTGTGTGCTGCTGAGAAAGGATCTCGACCTTCTGTGGGGCAATGTGCTAATGAAATGAAAAGTTATTCCCCCAGCTCTAGATCCTGGCACACCTACTCTTTACTGGAGAACTCGCTAAATAAAAGTCAGAAGTACAATCCTTAACTCTCATGGTCAGCTGAGTAACGGGCCTTTCAGACCACTAACGTGATTTCCCAGACACCAGTACAGCTAAAGTAGTACCCCCAGGGCTGGCTTTAGGCTGATCTACCCTATTCCTCCTCCCGCAGCACGCCCAGCATGACAGCACACTGTGGTCATTCTACAGTATAACTGTCCCTCCTACCAGACCCTTCCCTTTCCACTTTATGAGAAATGATCACATTACAGGCACATCCCATTGTCCTGGCACAACCAAATGCTGCCCTTACTTTATGTTATGATAAGAGGAAGCTGCATACCAAATTTGGGGGTCCTAGCTCTTACTGTTTAGGACTTTTAGACAGACTCAGATGGACAGACAGACGCACATTTCTAAAATGTATATTTACATCCCCTCTGCTATTCAAAATAAATTGGTTTGGTACAACAAGATGACAGAGTTAATCAAATACTTGTATAAGTAAATCTAAGTACTCAGTGACACTCTCTCAATCATTAGGAGACTGGCAGTCACCAGAGGGAGCAACACGGTAGCTCAATGTTTGTTATGTGTAGAATAGGATTGTTTTTTTATTATGGAATCTTACCAGATATTCTCCTCTTACCATATGTTGATCTGTTCTTTTATTAAATAAGGTTAACCTCCCTGTCTGTTTATATAGGAATGACATGTCAGGCTAGGACCTCCTACACAGAAGACGAAGTTCTTTGGGGACACAGATTCCTCCCAGTAATGTCACTAGAAGATGGCTTTTTTCGTGTTGATTACTCTCAGTTTCATGCCACCTTTGAAGTCCCCACACCTCCTTATAGTGTAAAAGAACAACAGGAAAACCTCTCTCTTCTATCTCCTTTGAATACTCCTATTGGTAGCCAACACAGACAGGAATACATCTGCTCGCTGGACTGCATTGATATTTTAGAGGAGAAAACAAAGAAGTTTCCTAGTAAACTTCAAAAAATTACCTCCGGAACGGAAGGCCTTCAGAGAAGAGTCCTCAGGCTGAGTTCCAGCAACGTAGAGAAAGCTTGCAGTACTGGAGATCTCTTGAAAATTCAGCAGACAAGTTCTGTTTCCAGCAATGAAGATGGCGATGAAAGGATACACCTGAAGGCCTTCAAAATAAAATCTGAGTCTCTGACTCAGTCTACCGGAGATCTTGAGATACAGCAAAAGCCTCAAGCTCTGCTCACCTTAGGGACAAGACTAGAGGATCATTTGCCTGCCAAACTTCGAAAAATGAATTCTGATCGCCTCTCCTAAATAGCAGATTCAACAGGCGTTGTTGTTACTCCTCGATTGCATTTTAGACTTCTGTCCTTCAGGATTACTTTGGATTATTATTCTTAAACCCTTGTTCTCCGAGTGGACCATAGGTCATCTACAAGTCTCCTCCACTTCACTATCGAGATAAACATTTCTAGCTGACTCCAAGAGTACCCCAGTTGTTGTCCTTCAATCTCAGTAGATCTTCTCCACGTTGTCCGAGGCCTTCCTCTTTTGTGTTTTCCTTGCCGGTTCCATGTGAGAGTTTAACGGACTATATTACTTTGGATTACTACTGGGCTAATTTGGTTTTGCCAAGAGATTCTCCCGAAATAACGATTTTCAATATTAAGTTGCTTTTTTGTATCATGTTCCATGCAAATCTGCGTTATGTAGCATGTTACATTCATTGTGCTAAATCAATAGTTCCCTGCTTTAAAACCAGGTAACAGTTCGCTCTGGTCTTCCATCCTTTCTGAAATAAAGGGGCCAGATTCTCCACTATGATATAGTGCCGATTGGATGGGGACGGGGTTGATGGCAACATGAACCTCATCTTTACACTCCCCCCCCCCCCCCACATCATATGTTAGAGAAGCCCTATGTGTGGTCTAATCTATGCCATCTCTTAAGGGACCAAGGCCATCACTGAGGAACAGTGTACCATAACGATGGCCCAGTCGCATCTTCTGTGCCAGCAACGGAGGGGAGGGACAAAGGAGCTATAGTGGCTGCTGTGCTAGTAGAAGACTCATTACACTTATGTGAGCTTCCCAAGGCTGGATCACACCTATTCTAATGGCCAGATTTGGCCAGCGCACAGCAGCTGGATTGATAAAAGAATTTGACCAAAGAAATAGATTAAGAACAAGTACAACACTTTTTTCTCATAACACTTAAAGAATTAAATCTGAAATTGATAAAATGTACTAAAACAGATGGTGAAGCAACAGAGGCACAGAAGTGAGCATGGCCTGGAATATTACAGTCCTGAGATATAAGAAGAGGAGGGTTTTTCAGAGGGTGGGTGACCAGTACTGTTCCAAACTCATAGGGAAATTATAGTCTGATTTTCTGAATTTAGAAAATGGTAAGAACTGCACTCCTGTTTTGTTTTCTTAACATTGTTAGTGCCACAGTTAATGAATAATCAAGTGTTTGCTTCAGTCTCCATTCTAGAACTGTTCTTCATCTTTTCCTGGTGGAAAAATGACTTATTTCCCAACAAGTATAAGTAACTTTAATAGTTTAATAAAATAATACTGAGTACTCATGATAATGCATGATGCTTTGCTTCTGCAAAACACTCAGTGACAATCGGATCAAATTCTGCTTGGCTGCATCTAGACTGGCAAGTTTTTCCGCCAAAGCAGCTGCTTTTGCAGAAAAACTTGCCAGCTGTCTACACTGGCCACTTGAATTTCAGGAAAAGCATTGACGATCTCATGTAAAATCATCAGTGCTTTTCCGGAAATACTATGCTGCTTCCATTTGGGAAAAAGTATTTTTCCGAAAGACTTTTGCGCAAAAGGGCCAGTGTAGACAGCACAGTAGTGTTTTCCTCAAAAAAGCCCCGATCGCGAAAATGGTGATCGGGACTTTTTTGCGGAAAACCACGTCTAGATTGGCACGGACGCTTTTCCGCAAAAACCTTATAGTGTAGATATAGCCAAAGTGTGCATGGCTAGGGAAATCATCACTTTTGAATGTCTACACTTTGCTCATTTAAATTCTCTGGCTTAAAGGTTGCCTGCAGCAGACATGTTTAAAAAAACAGGCTTGTTTCTTTATCGTGAGGTAGAGTGACTAGAGGGACAGATTATCTTTTCCTTGAGTCTCTGGTGATGGGGATTTATTATAAATGAGCTCAGGCAGACATAAATATTGAAAGGCAGCAGAAAATGGAAGAACTGAAGTGTCTCTTCTCCCTTCCCTGAGATTGAAAAAGGAGATTTTATAAGGACTCTGAAATTGTCTGCAAAGTACCCGAGTGAACACAAATCCTGCACATTTGAAACCAGAAGGGATTATGGTCACAGTCGTCATTCAAATCTTCCAGCCTTCATTTGGCTTTCCAGTTCTAGCCTCACATGCATCAAGTCATTGATCTGATACGTAAAACCCACGCTGCTGCGGTTTCATCTCTAGTACCATGAAGAACACAAACAAGTCTGTTGTCTGTGCTACTGTTCTGTGTTAGCTTTACATTACTGTATTGTATACAGTAATTAGTGCCCAATTAAAGAACTGATGTTTGTAATATGCTTTAAACACGTCTTCTGCAAATGCTGTGCTTATTGTAATAAGCAGGATAGCTGATGGAGATACTGTAGCGTGCATTGTTTCAGCTGCCTAAGTCCTCCGTTGTTATCACCAGATTCTAGAAGTGTACAGACTCTGTGCTGTGTGGGGTTTCCTTTCACCCCAACCCCCTACTTCCCAGTGGTGTAACAATACAGATTAGTTAAACTGGTATACGGCTACGACTACACTGGCGGCTTCTTGCACAAGAACTCTTTTGCAGAAGAGTTCTTGTGCAAAATATCTTCCACAAGAGAGCATCTACACTGGCATGTGCTTTTGCGCAGGAGCATCCATGGCAGTATAGATGCTTTCTTGTGCTAGAAAGCTCTGATGGCCATTTTAACCATAGGGGCTTCTTGTGCAAGAAATTCATGTTGCCTGTCTACACTGGCCTCTTGTGGAAGAGCTCTTGCGCAAGAGGGCTTATTCCTCGTGGGGAGAGGAATAACTCTTCCCGAAAAAGCCCTGTTTTACACTGCTACACTGTTCTTGCACAAGAAGCTGCCAGTGTAGACATAGCCATAGGGATTTTGAACCAGTGTTACTACTTCTGTTTCACACCCGTGTATGTTTTCCTGATCTAAACAAGCCTTTAGAGCCCATATCTCGCAAAGAAGCATTGGGAAAAGAATAAAAAAGACATTTCAAGTGGTGTAACTTTTTTTAAATTACTTTTTTTTTTCGTGTGTAATTTTGGTGACTTTGTTTTATCGGGTGGGGCTTTAAATGCATGTTATCCAACACAGTGATCCAACCACTAAAGAACTCGAGTGAGTTCATGGTGCAGGGATTAGACCATTGACTATCTATTGGCTAAAAGGGACTAGGAACAAAAAAAGAACTGTTGAAATGAACGTAGCCGCCCCCTGTCCTTAGTCTGGAAACGGTTTTTTTTTGCTGAGGAGGTGTCAATTTAGAATGTGGTTCTCTTATCTCACTGTTTCAAAGCTGACTTTGGCTTTAATAAAAGTTGAGCATTTTGTTAAAGCTCTTCGATTCTTCTACATGCAGCTGATAAGTGGGGTGCAGCTTTTGCCAGCAGTAGGTGGGATAGGGTGAGTCCCCTCTCTGGCACGGCTATTACTTCCAGCTACACCCAGTTCCCACACTCTGGTGGCTTCTTCTAGGTGCCTATCCCTGGTAGTTCCCGGCCTCTTTCTTCATGGCCTCACAGGAGAGGAGAAGAGAACCCGAGTGTAGTGAGGGGGGAACATTGAGCCATTACGAGAAAGGATTGGACTGACAGTGCTGCTGTTTCTATGAGGTCCTGCAATTTGAAATATTCTCTCTTCCGCTGTGATGTAGCCCACACTCCTCACTCCTTGGAAAGACTGGCCCTACACTATGCCAAGCAGGCGTTGGAGAGGATGGTGGAGTTTTGGGAATCTTAGGGGAGGCATTTCTGGATTGTTTCTTGCAGCCAGGATGCATCTACCCTGCAGGGCTTAACTCGAAAAAAGCTACACACATGGAGCTACGTCAATTGCGTAGCTTGTTTCGAAATAGGGAGCGTCTACACAGCTCGTTTCAAAATAGAGCCCTCTTCCTCCGACTTCCCTGACTCCTCGTACAATGAGGGTCACAGGAGTCAGAGCATGAAGTCCTCCAGCGTGACAGTATTTTGACACCACTTCAAAATAACTGCCTGCTGTGTAGACGCAGCAGAGTAAGTTACCCCGGGATAGTGCTAGTGATTTCGAAAGAGTGTTGCAATGTAGAATCACAGAGCTGGAAGAGACCTCAGGAGTCATCAAGTCCAGCCCCCTGCCCAAGGCAGGACCAATCCCAACTAAATCAACCCCGCCAGGGCTTTGTCAAGCTGGGACTTAAAAACCTCTAGGGATGGAGATTCCACCCCCTCCCTAGGGAACCCATCCCAGTGCTTCCCCACTCTCCTAGGGAAATAGTTTTTCCTGATATCCCACCTAGACCTCCCCCACTGCAACCTGAGACCATTGCTCCTTGTTCTGCCATCCGCCACCACTGAGAACAGCCTCTCTCCATCCTCTTTGGAACCTCCCTTCAGGAAGCTGAAGGCTGCTCTCAAATCCCCCCTCACTCTTCTCTTCTGCAGACTAAATAAGCCCAAATCCCTCAGCCTCTCCCCGTAGGTCACGTGCTCCAGGCCCCTCATTTTGGTTGCCCTCCGCTGGACCCTCTCCACTGCATCCACATCCTTTCGGGGGGGAAAGGAGGCTCAGAACTGGATGCAATACTCCAGCTGTGGCCTCACCAGTGCCCGTTAGCATTTGCTGCATTCTGGCAGTGCCTCCATCTAATCTAGGGTCTTTGGGGGACAACAGCCAGCGGGTCATGGGCAGCGAGTATGCTAGGCAGGGGAAGGCTCTGCCTTCCCAAACCCCCAGCCTGGTCCTGCCCCCAGAACACCAGCTGTAGGTGTATTGGGGGCGGAGTGTTGCTGCCCCCAAGTGCCCATCCTCCCCATGCTCCAAGTCCGGGGGAGGCTGGGGCCATGTGCCCACCTCCCTCCCTGTGATGCTAGGCCAGGCAGGCTGCCTCCTTGTGGTACAGGGGGGCAGCTTGACTCCTGGGCAGAAGGGACAGAGCTGGGGGCTTGCCTTCCCCAACCCTACCTTCACCCTCTGCCCATGTGTGTTAGAAGTGCCCCCAGGCTGTTCAAACCTGGCTGGGATCACAGAATCCAGGAGACATAATTGGTTCCCTTCCTCTCTTCTGGGAAGCCCTGAGGAATGCTCCTTGCTGGGCAGGCTCAGAGAGCCAATTAATCACCTACCGTGCTATCTTTAGAGCACTCACAACCCAGTACAGCATGAAGTCTTTGCCTCCCTCTCGTGATGAAGCACGTGGCTCCTATATTTTCTGCAGAGCTCCATGGGATGGTTTATAAATATTTATGTAATAAGCCGATTTTCGTATTTGCAACTCATTTTGAAGTGGGTATAATCCCAATTTAAAAAAAAAATTACAGTTAATGTCAAGTGTCATCTGAATAGCTCTTTCTTTAAGCTGCCGCGTGACAGCAGCCGGATCCACCAGCTGCCCTGCTAGCATGTCCCAATCCTGGAGGGTTATCAAAGATCCAGAGGGTTTTGGTGCTATGACCCGGCTTTGCAACAACCTCTTGGAGGAACCGCTTCAATGGGACAGACCCTTAAGAGGCCCCGTTCTTCCAGGTGCCCACCCGCAGCTGAACCTTGGGGCTTCAGCATCGCTGCTTTGCTATGCGAGCTCTGCTTCACGGGCCTAATGGAGAGAGGCTCCTGGGATTAATGCAACTGCATCAGAGAGTTACAGGGGCGCCCAAGCGGTGTTTTCGAAACAGGAGGGTTTTAGTCACCTGTCATGTATCATACGAGGGTCTTCGGTGAGCCGAGAGAGAGGCAGCAATTAAGCCTGTGCCAATATGAGCCAGCCAAACTGAGATGGAGGGGTGAGGAACCTACGGTCTGGGGGCCAGATTCCACCCCAGCTTGCCTATATCTGGCTCCCAAGGCTCAGGGCTTCTCCCAGTATTGGCGAGCCAGCAGGCCAGCCCTGCAACCCCTCTCCCACAACCCCAACAGCACCACTCTGCTTCTGCACTCTACCTCCCTCCCACCCAGACCCCACAATCCAAGCCTACTTCCTGGCAGCTCCCTCCCCCACACCGAACACCCTACCCCAGAGCATAGGGAGCCCATAAAACCTACAAGCCTGGGCACCCCAGACTCTGGTGTGGGAGGGCCATGTGGGGTTCGAGATGTTTTTTTTCCTTCTCACTTTTGTGCAGACCCTGATTATTCTCTGGGTCAGCAGCCCACCGGCCCCAAAAAAGGCTCCTAGCCCCTGCGTAATAGATGCCATCTCCAGCTTGCCCCAGGCAAGAGATGCAAGCTTTTTCTAGCACGAACTCGTTCCCCACCGCACACATTCCACTCCTCTGTTCTTGAGCTGGGGTCTCCACTCAGCTTCCTGGCTGAGCCTGCTGACCCATGGGGCATTGAAGCTTGCAAACATGCCCCGCACAGGACAATCTCAGCCCTCCATGTGCTTTCCACCCACTGAGCTTGCTCTCTGCCCCAGTGGGTCCCTCCCCTGCATCCTCAGCTGCCGGATCC